TTTCATATGTGAGCAAGTCCTGGGCATTTTCCAATCTATGTTCTATGATTAAGTATCTGTGGATATTTGCACCAGGCCCTCCTTCAGTCTCTACTTTCTATGATATCAACATCTCCACATGTACCACTTGTTCCCTCCTGAATAGGATGAAATGTGTGAGCTTCATGTCCCAGGCATTATTCTAATGTTATCTGGACACATTTTGTGCAGTGGAAAAAGTTTAAAAAAAGGCTATTGTACAATTGTAAATATGGGTTTTAAGCAAAAACAAGGTTAGTTCTTAAAATAAAGAAATGAGAAAAAGACAATTGAAATGACTAAAATATCTTTCAGCCTACATAACCTTATATTAATGGTACAGAGAACCAGCATGGTCTAGTTAGTTTGAGCGTTAGACCATGACTCTGGAGACCAGAGTTCAAATCCCTGATTAGCCATGGAAACCCACTGCTTTATCCTGGGCAAGTCACAGTCTCTCAGCCTCAGAGGAGGGCAACAGCAAACCCCCTCTGAAAAAACATGCCAAGAAAATCCCATGATAGGTCCACCTTAGGAAATGACTTGAAGGCACACAACAACAATAGGGGCCAACTAGGAAACAACTCCATCTGCAACCAAGAAACATACATGCCTGAAGAGATGTCTAGCTGCTTTAGACTTAGCTGTGGTTGCTGCAGGTGCTGACAGTTGTATCCAGCACTGGCACCTAGAAAGTCCACTGGCATTTAGAAAGTCCTGCTTTTCATCCCCAGATTTTGTAATGACTTTCACCATTACTTAAGTTTTGTTAATATACTCAAATCCAGCAGATTGTGGTATGAAATCACAATGGACCATTGTACCTCTGCCTTCTCACTTCGTAAGCTTTGCTTCCTGCTGCACAGAGAATACATGTTGACCGAACTAGCTCCCGTAGTCAAGGCCAGATTAAAGTGACTGAGCATTTCCTGGACCATTTCTAAAAACAGTCTCCTTTATGTCCACATGTGACCATTTTCATTGGAAGGTTACTTTGCACTTTGCTGGGTCAAGCCCACTAGTGCTGTCAGGCCAAGAGGAACATTTCCTTAGACCAGAGAAAGCCTGTTTTTGTGTCTCTGGGCTACAAATGTAATTCTTCACTCATTTTATTTTTGAAGGAATTACTTTTAGCAATTTTTCCCAATGTAAAAAATAAGTCTTCAAAAGGTACACAGTTTTCAAAATTTATTTGCAGTTTGGGATGTCTGGACAAATTTTGCACATGCTTGTTGATTACTTTTCTTTCAGTGCCTAGAATAGCCAAATCTAATGTTTTGGAGAGAAAAGATCCAGAGGTGTACATGATGGCGTGAAACAGCTCTTGTGATAACTTTTCCTTACATGTACAAAAGATGCCCAGAAGCTACCAATCTGATCTCTTGTGTTTATAGCTATGAAAAGCAGCAACTGGCCTCCTTTAGCAAGCAGTAGCCAAAGCAAGACAAAACATGCCTTAGCCCAGTGATCTACTGCCTGCTTCCAGAGCCAGGGAGAATGATGTTGACAACACGAAGCTGCAAAGTGACATTGCAATAAAAGAAGAAGCATCTGTCACCTCCCTCTGTTCCAGTTCAATGACAATAATTTCATGGGTGGTTTTAAAAAGAAGTGATGTTATGCTGTTGGGGGGTGTTCAAAAGTCTTCACCTGCATCTGATTCTTTTCTTCCACTCACTTGTCTTTCTCATTAGCATGAAGCCTTGCCAGCCATCAACAATCCTCTATTTAATATACTTAAATGAATCTAGAAACACTGCAAGTTGCTGCCATTGTTGGTAGGAAGGATTGCTACAAGTGTAAATAGAAATAAAAATTGTGAAGAACTTTGGAGGGCAGAATCTTTTAAGACACCTAGAATGAGAGGTTGTACAGACAGCCCCTGGGAGCACCAGATTGGGGCCGCGGCAATCACACGCTGCAACCCTGATTCGGCTTTTTGCGGCTCCAAAAAGAGCTGGCAAATGCTGCTACTTTTGGGGGCAGCAAAAAGCCACCCTTAGTGCTGCTACCATGGCTCTTTGTCTCTCTTTGGTATAGCGTATCTACACGCTGCACCAACGGAGTGCCCTGATGCCATGCGCCATGCAGTGGGGTGAACGATGATATGCCAGCATCAGGGCAGAGTCGGGGCAGCCAGCGTGTGGTCACCCTGCCCCAACTCCACCCCAGGTCAGCCTTTTTGACCATATTTTCAGCATGGTTTCATGTAGTGCCTCCTCTCCCTAAATTGTCACCTGTTAGCAGCCATTCCAACTATGTTGCTTTAAATAGCATTGATGCCTGAGTTCCTTATACTTTCCCCTTCCTTCCCATCCCTTTTTCCATTTCTGTCAGATCTATTACAGTCGCCCCTCCATCCTTGCGGACATGAAGTCTACGGTTTTACATATTCACAGAGGGGCGACCTCCATTTAAATCAATGGGGTGCGCCCGTGCTGGCACACCCCCATGCACACTCATGGGGGCGCATCCCATGCAAGCCTATGGGTCTTGAATATTTGCGAATCTCCATTTTTGCAGGGGGAGACAGTCTGTAACAGATCCCCCATGAAAACGGAGGGTTGGCTGTATATCTAAATCTGTCAGTGGAGATGATCCTGTTTGTTTGATCTTTGCACAGTGCTTAACACCATTTAGATATTTTAAATGCCAGGTAATAACAATAACTGTCAACACCAGAAATTCTTTATATGATGCTATTTCCCATTTTCTCCATAAGTATTGGGATAGGCAAGTTCCAGAGCTCAGAGAGCTGAACCATGCTATTTTGGGCTCCTCTGGAGATCCAGTGGGCCAGAACATGCTGTCTAGTCCAGCAGTGTCACATCACTCCTTGTCACTTAGAGGGGGAAATGGGGACTTTCCCCCTTGCTATTTAGAGGAGGAAGCAAAACAGCATTATAATGCATTTTAATGCATAATCTGGCAGAGGTGAATCAATATGTCAGAGAAGAGTCAAACAGAGTTTTTTTAGCCTAGCTTTTCTGGAAGAGGGTGTCCCATGGTGTGGAGACAACAGGCAGATTAAAACCTTGACACTAGCCATGGGAGCGAAGCCCAGAAAAAGTGAGGGCTGCTCCCAGGAATGAGTATATAAGAGAGAGAAGCAAGTTTAAAAGTGGTTGATGTTTAGTGTGCCCTGAGGGGTGAAGAGCCATTGAGGCTAGGTTAGACTGCTGTGAGGGACAGATAGAAAGGATTTTAGATACCCATGAAAAGGACGATGAGTGTCCTTAATTATATTATTGTAGTGTCCTGTGGGAGACATAGTGTTTGGTGACTGGTGGAGTCATAGGTAGCCAGAAGTGTTATATGATACAAAAGTATAATAAAGGTTTTGTGAGAACTGAGTCTATAAGGGAACATATATAAAGCTATAAAGAATCAATTAGAAATAAAAGCTAAGGAAACTGTTAAACTGTGTAATAATAAAGTATTTATATACTTATACCATTACCATTGTGAACACCATCCACTAAAAGAGAGACTGTATTCAGCCTGACTTGCAAATAAATTTCTTACTTTGTTTCAACAAGCAGCTATCTGAAGTGATTTCAGAAACACATTAAAAGTGCTACCAACATTGAGAAAAGTCTTTTAGGTTTGGGACACATTAGATAGTGGATGTGTGGCTGTCAAAAAATAGTTGGTGTCAAGCGCAGGGGGGGGGGGTTGAAATCCAGAGGGCTGGCATGTTAAGAGAGTTATAGTGTAAGAGACACACTTAAGAGAGTCCTGAGTTTGAGTCTCACAATGAAGAACTGGTGGGATAGTGGCCATCACCTTCACATAATTGGTGGCAGTGATGGCATCAAAAAAACCCATTAGGCTGCCAACCAAGTAAAAAAGTTGGGGTGGATGAGTCTCACTGTCACACATGGGGTCCGTCACCAAGGGTCTGGAAGGTTTTGGGGGCACAGTGGACCCCCAAAGGGTTTAGTGATAATGGGAAAGTCAGGCTGAATACAGTCTCTCTTTTAGTGGATGGTGTTCACAATGGTATAAGTGTATAAATACTTTATTATTTATCAAGATTGTCATCCTGATGTATATTACGAAGTCATGTTTTATAACTAAGGGACTCATTTAGATGTATGCAAATCAGAGCAATGCTGAAACTATAAAAACTCTTTACTGCCTGCATTGACTATAGTGCCACTGTCTGCATTTTTATTACATTTGCACCCCTACTTTTCCTCTATTATACCTAAGCTCATGTACATCAGGTTTATTGTATGATCTCCCCACCAGAGACTGGCCAAATCTAGAACTACTGAGCTCCAGGATAGTTGCTACAACATGTGCTCCAGACCATAATGTGCGGGTTGGCTAAGATCCTACATTCTGCCTTGTGTAATGTAAATCTCCATTCACATAGGTACATGGTGATTGTGCTACACCAGCTTTCTGCTGAAGAGTAACACTGTAAAATTGGCTGTGTACCTGCCAGTGTGTCTGCTTCCTGTCAGATTGTGTAATGAGGAAAACATAGTAGCTATTTCTACAGTCCCAGTGAATCAAGTAATACATTGAAGGAATTGATGAATAGTTATGCACACCCAATACAAGTTGTGCAACTGTATGGCTGGAATCCTCTTGGTTAGTCCCAAAGATACCAGGCCCATCAATCAGCTGTTGAATCATGGGCCAACACATACTTGATTCAGTGGTTCTACTGTAGTTGGGGTTAACAATAGGTTTTAAACCCGTATGAAATTACAGTATTACACTTCTGGAATTCTGCTTATTCAGACATGAACTGAATACTTCCATTGCACAATGGCCAAAAAAAGTATAACCACACATGCAAGTGAACTTATATAGGTATATGACAGTGAGTAGGATTCAAGCCAATGTCTTTGTAGCCACATAATAATTTAAATGTATGTTCATTGTTTGTACAGCACTGAGTGCCGCAGTATATGTGACTCACAAGAGGCACATTTCTTGTTAGGTGATAAGCAGAGATAGAGCAGAGAGTCAGTTTGGCATAGTGGTTTGAGTGCTGGACTACAACTCTGGACTACAACCAGGGTTCAATTCCCACCTCGGCCATGAAACTCACTGGGTGACCTTGGGCAAGTCCCATGCTCTCAGCCTCAGGGGAAGGCAATGGCAGATCTTCTCTGAACAAATCTTGCTAAGGTTTGCTATAGAGTCACCATAAGTTAGAAATTATAGAGCTGTTCAACAGTGGACCACACTCCCTTGGAGTGGAGTATCCTTCTTTAGAGGTTTTTAAACATAGGCCAGATGGCCTTCTGTCCAGGGTGCTTTGATTGTGAGTTCTTGCATGGCAGTAGGTTGAACTGGAGGTCTTTGTGGTCTATTCCAACTCTGTGATTCTATTATTCTAATTCAGCAAATGAAAGTGCTATAACCCAGCCACCTCCATATCAATTCAAGGAAAATGCCCTAAAAATTACATTAAATTGTGTTGGAGTAAAAGTACTTTATGTTGTGTGTTTTTAAAAGCCGTAATTTAATGTAATTAATATAATAACCTTCGTTATGCCTTCCAATTAATTCATAGGAGTAGGATAGGTAAAAACTCTGAAATAATTATTTTAATTTAGATAGAAATGCAATACATCTCATTATAACAGAGAAGACAGCAACCAGATGACATATATACCTGCCCTTTCCTACAGGAACAGAACAAAAAACTGCAAAGCACATATTCACAGTAGAAGAGTTAAAGGGAACAAGGTCCCATGTTCTGTTATTGGTCCACAAATTTTATAGCTTAAAAAGCCCAACACATTTCAGCCTTGCCACAAATTGGCCTTCTTCAGGAGCTAATTATAAAATAAATAAAAGTATATTTCTTGTAGCTGTGGTATTGGGACAACACATAAATAATCTCTTAAAACATAATTTCCTAAAAATGAAATAGCATCTATTATCATATTATCATATACATACCTATTAGCAGAGATTTCTGGAATTGCATTCTGCACTCTGAACAATACTCACAATGAGTATTAGAAGGAAGGGACTAGGACCACCAGTGGGTTCATATTTATGGATTTTTGAAGTAATATCATTGATGAAAACCAAAGAAAAGATACATGATGCAATATGTCCATAAGGTTACTCAGCTCTGTTCTGTCTAGCTAGCTGATGCAATATTGAAAATTTTTTAGCCATTTATCCCAAATTTTTATATAGTTCTCATTTTTATTATTTATCACCTCCAATACCCAAAAGCTTATGGCAGTTGCTGCATGTTTCATTTGTTCAAACTGGTAAACCAGAGGTGCCCCATTCTTTTATTTCTCAAATAGGACAGACGTTCTGCTATTCTTTGTTTGATAGATCTTGATGTTCTTCCTACATAAATTTTCCTGCATTTACACTGGATTGCATAGATTACAAAAGTGCTTTTACAAGTACTGAAATGGGACAACTTATACCATTTTTGGTCTACAAAATTGCTCAATCCTTTTATTTTGGTTGTATATTTACAGTATACACAATGGCCACATGGGTAATGTCCTGTGGGCATATTTGCTCTAAACACACTGCTGTTGGATTTTCTATTGGGGATCCTAAAGTCTGTCCTCATCACCATGTCTTCAATATTTCTTGATATTTTGTATGAGGTCATCAGGGTGTTTTTTGTTTTTGTTTTTTTTTGCATCCTGAAATATTTTCAATCAAATACCAATGTTTTTTTATAGATTGTTGTATACTGTGTACAATGTATGTGGTTACTGTGGGGTCTATCCTGTTTCTTCAAAAGCTCTGAGCAAGACCTGCATGCTGCTTTATCATAGCCATAATCTATAACATGTTGTGGATAACCTCTATCCCTTAACTGTTTATTTAATAGATTTGATTCCATCGTGAATTGTTCCTCCTTGGAACACCTTTTCAACCTTTCCTACAGGTCATTGTGTTTCTCTCCTTGTTTGATTGAGAAATTAGGCTAGAAATTAGGCTAGAAATAGCTTTATAACTCTGAGTAGCCTCCGTTCCCATATTTTGGGCTTGGCTTGCCCTATATGAATTGCTGATTTATAGAAACATTATTAAAACATTATTAAAACTTGGCCATTGAAACTGCATGCATATTTGTACAATACATTTTTATCAGTTTCATACAACTTTAAATGCCATCACTTCATCCAAAGGAATCCTGGAATTTGTAGTTTGGTGGTGTACATCGAAGGTATCAAGGCAACTTCCATGTAAATGGCTTAGTAAATCTGCTCATGAATTTAATCCAAACATTACAAAAATCATTTAAGGTGCTGACTCCAAAATGCATCCAACACTTTGAATGGTTCCTTTAAAATTCAGACTAAACTCCAGAGTGAATTATCACTCCATTTCCTGGAAGATACCAGGCACCACTTATTCTGAGAAGTCAAGATCCTACACAATTTTTGCATTGTGTAAATAATTACACAGTGGTTGCTCTAGACCACCCTACTGCTGGATATTAAGCATGTGCAACTGATTATGTATTTGCCAATGTGACTGCTTATTGTACCATTGTGAAATGGGGAGTGCATAGTGTTTGTTTCTGCAATCCCAATGAATCAAGCAGTCCTTGAAGGCACTGATGAATAGTTATGCACCACTCAAGAAATGCTACTGCGTGGCTGGAATCCTGTTCCTTAGTCTGAGCCAAAGTAAACCCATTAAATCAGTTTTTGACTGATAAGTCAACACATAGGTAAATTCAATTGTTTCAACTGAACTCTAAGTTGCCTATGACCTCAACCAAGGCTTTATAGATTCTTCTGGCATATTGGAAAAATGAAACTGATGCCTGAGAAAGATCCCTACAAATCAGGCTTGGCTTACCAAAGATCACACCTCAACAAAACAGTTGGAATGAAATAGGCCAGTTTTATTGGTTACAGCTGCTAATAGACCTGATACTTGCATGGATCCAAATCTAGGATCCAAATCCAAAACTGACCAACCTGCCAGCCAGCCAGCCACAGCTGGAGCAGAAAGAAAGAGAGAAACCCATATGACAGCCAACATTTAAGAAAGAGAAGTTCCATGAAGGACTCTACAAAAGAGACTGTTCTGTAATAAGATGTTTGTATAATGTACATCCGCTTGCCTCACAATTGCCAAGTGGAGAGCTGTTACAGGCCAGACTAATTTTAGTTGGCAACTCCTTGGACTGTGCATACACCAGTTGTACTCAAATTGTGACCATCTTTACATCTACATGTAGACATCATGCCCCCCCCCCACTCAACACGGTATATGAATAAAAATATTCTGTTTATTTACTATGCATATTTTCATTCATACATTCATGTATATTCATATTTTAACATTTTATAAGAGAATAACATTGTTCAAATTACAACAGTTTTATTTGAATAAATGCAATATTTAACTCAATGCGTGTGTAAATTTTACTCATTAAAAAGTTTGGGAGGAGAAGGAGGGATCAGAGCCTCCAAGTCTTGTGCCCCCCCTTGAGAAACTCTGGTGCCACCCCCGGGGTCCCATCCCACTGTTTGAGAACCACTGGCATACACCATAAAAATGTTTATATATCATTTTAAAAGGGCCTGGTAAAACCTGTAGATGATAGAATATAGAGCCTAAAATCCATGGCAGTGTTTGCCCAGAATCTATGATTCTATGATTTTCTGTCTTGTAATAAAAGAAAGGAAAAAGCTTGTTTAGGTTTCAGGTCTGGGAAGACTGCCAGATGTTTCCTTGTAATATGTGAACAAAAATTTGCAAATAATGAGTTAGTACACCAGAGACACTTGACAACAGGTAACAGGGTATATTCTAAAAGTAGGGTGGGCACTATTAGGTGTGTGTGTACAAAGCAAAAAGATAAGATCTAAACCTCCTTGAATAACTGTGGCACTGAGTGGGCATCAGAAGAGAATAAAAGAGCTAAATTAAACCCATGTAATTAGGCTGCTGAGGCAGACAATCATCACAGGGAGAGAAGGCTATATGTATATGTTTATATTCTTATAGACCTTCCATACTGCCCTAAAATGCTGCTTCTGGTAAGGCTAGGAGATATATGCTTACATTTGATTAATGCAGTTGAGACTTGCTTAAGAATTGCTCAAGGTCTAACCTTTGAATGCCTGCATTATACAGAAGCCTGTTAGAGTAGTAAACATTCTCAGACAGATGAGATGGTATTCTTTCTTGGATAATTGTTTGAATATTAAGATGAAAGTCTAGATGAACATGATGGTGGCTATATGATTTACAAACCTGAAGTGCCAAGCAATTGCTATGCCTGTGATTTTCCTTGAAGGGAATGTATATGTATGTATAAAAAGGTAAAGGTATTCCCTGTTTACCTTTACCTATCCCCCGTTGACAAGGTTGTCAAGTTGTGTCCAACTGTAGGGGATGGCGCTCATCTAGCCAAAGAGTCAGCATTGTCAGAGCCTACTCTGTGATCATGTGGCCAGCATGATTGATTGCACAGGATGTGTTTACCTTCCCACCAAAGTGGTACCTATCTATCTACTTGCATTTGCATGCTTGCGAACTGCTAGGTTGGCAGAAGCCGGGACAAGTGACAAGAGCTTACCCCATCATGCAGCACTCGAGCCTCGAACTGCCAACCTGTCAATCTTGCAATCAACAGAGTCAGTATCTTAACCACTTGAGCCGCTGCATCCCGATCTATGTAGCGATGTATTTATAAATTGATACATACATCGATGTATGTATACATCAATGGATATTAAAATAGTACCAACTGTTCTTTCCCATGTAAGAACTCCAATACCTGAAGATATTTAAGTGAAGTGTTGGTTGTCTGGTTTAACCCTTATCATAAGTTGAGTAACCAGAGGCTGATAAAGGTAACTCCAGTTAGAATCTAGAATAAGAAGAGAAGTGACAAGAATCCTTAATCCCTTGGTCTAAGAGATACAGAAGGGGAATCATGCCTGTTTCACTGCAGAGCAAGCTGCTGGCTTGGCAATTCATTTCAAGCTTTCATGAAGTCCAGTCAGCTGTTTGTACAATCAATCATTGGAGGTGACCACAGCTATGGGGCTTTAGTGATAAATGGTCATGGTTGTCTCTATTAA